ATGAACTGTGATTGTTGCTTGGAAAATGGTAGAGTGAATTTTTGACCTCAATTCTTTTTTTTTTTTTAGGAGGTGAAATAATTTTATTTCACAGTTGTCTTTAAAACCACAAAGACACTATTTTCTTCATATAAAAACATTAGTACAGATACCTACACTTTCTAGAGAATGATTACATAGACCCTCTCAAAGAAAAACGTACCCCATTATATGGCATCAGTGAGGCTGCTTGGAAACAACTCACTTCTGGACTGATTCCTAAAACATATACCATTCCACTACTCTGCAACTTTTGGTTCAAAGTATAGATTACTGTCATCAGTATGTGTTCCTGAATTTTTACATATTTGATAATGCACATATAAAATGGTTTATCACTTAATGTTCCATTGGTTCATCAGCTTTTTCTGCAGGTTCATCAGCAGGTTGAGCAGGCTGTGCCTCTCTCTGTGGTCTTTCTTCTAGACCTTCCAGGAATGGAGACACATCATCATCATCATAGATTGTAAACTCCAAGTCTTTACCAACAATTCCAATGGAAACATTCTTTGTAGTTAGGTCCTGCTCTGCAGGAAGTGTCTCTCTTAAGGCACGCAGACCATGTTTAACCAGTTCATTTAAATTGCACTCCATAAATTCAGACATATGTCTCTCCAAGTAAGTACGAGCTGACTGGGAACGGGCTCCAATGGACATAGCTCGGCAGTCAAAGTAGTTAGCAGATGGACAGGTTTGGAAAATGTGAGGGCCCATATCATCATAACCAGCAATAAGTAGCCCAACACCATATGGTCTCCGGCCATATCGTTGTGTTGGTATCTGGGTCTTGCTTCCGATTAGAGATACAAGATGAGACACAGGAAGTGGTCTGTCAAATACAAATCTGGAATCCAAACACTCCTGGCGCATAAAATTACACAACAGTCTAGCATCAACAGTAAGCCCCACAACTGAGATACCAATATGGTTGTCAACATGGAGAATTTTTTTCTGATGAGCTGCAAGCTCCGACTGTGCCCTTTTCAAAGCTACCAACACTGCATGGGTTTTTGACTTAAGACCAACTGTGGCTGAACCTTGTTTAACAGCTTCCATTGCATATTCAATTTGATGAATCCTGCCCTGAGGGCTCCAAACAGTAACATCATTGTCATACTGGTTGCGAAACATGGTTCTGGCGCGGGCCTGACTGCAGCCTCCTGCAAACCTACGAATCAGGGAGCCTTGACCTCAATTCTTTACTCCTCCTTATATCCAAACCCTTTGCCACGTAACTAGTGAAAATTCCCACCTTTTGGCTTTGGTTTCTGCCATGTGATTTGCTTCTACCAACAGATGTTAGTGGACTGTAGTCATGAGGCTTGACACACACTGGGTGGTGGGGCTTGCCTCCTTGTTCCTTGTGATCACTGTGAGCGAACACACCTGGGCTATCCTCACTAGGCCAGGGGAAGGTTGAGTGACACACAGAGCACAGCTAGCCCAGCTGATCATCAGGAAGAAGCAAAGCCATCCAGTCCAACCCAGCCACGATCAGCTTCTGGAACTCTAGCCAACCTGCAAATGCATAAGCCCAATGAATACTTATTCTCGTAAGTCACCAAAATTTTGTGTGTTATTATGCAGCAGTATTTGACTAACACATGCTTCTTTTATTCCCTTTCTTCTTTCTCCTCTTGGCATTATGCATCCCTTCTTCTCTGCTGTGTTATAGGCAGTCCGTCATTGTGAAAATAATAGGTTTTGGGGTCAGAAAGTCCTAATTTTTAACTCATTCCATGAATGATTAGTAGGCCTGAATAAGTTACTCCTCTCCTTTGACCCTTGGTTTCTTAATCTGTAAAATAAGAAAAAAATACCTACAATGATTTAATAAGCTACATTAAGCATCCAGCATACAGTGGTGATCAGGCTGTACTCAAGAAACAAGTGGTAACTGACCAGAAGAGATCACAAACTAAGAAGAAACAGGTGGTT